CTCTCCCTTTCCTTTCTTCCTTCTTTCCCTCTCCTGCCGCCGCCTCCGCTCCCGCCGCCCCGCCGCCCGTCCCAGCCAGGATTGCAAAGAGGTGGGTTTTCTCCTTTTTTTTCTTTTTGTAATTTTTGTTTGGTTACTGAGAAAATGGAAGAAGAAAACGGATTGAGTTAGGATTGAGTATGTGTTTCAATTGAGTTACGAGAATTTAGATGCTCTAGGAGTTGAATATTAGAGATTTTGTTTGGAAATTTTGTTCGAGTTTAGTCATTTTTTATGGTTCCGAGAATGTGAAAATTTAAACTTGCACTGATTAATTAAGAATTGTGTCCATATGTTACTCTAGATGTTAATAAAATGTTAATTTTGGTGTTTAAAAATTATGTTCGATGTTTTAATTTGATGTAGGCGTTTGATTTTTTGCCTTCGTCGCTGTTTGCACGGTTCCTCCGACGTAATCCTGCTATTTTCAGCCCCCGTTTAGTGGGTTTGAACTTTGTAAGTTTTTTATATTTATTTAGTTTAAAATTGTTGTAGTTTTTGGTTGTATGAATTCGGGATTATGATGACAATATTTGAATTATGATTTTCTTATATTGTTGAAATTTAGTATATGTTTATGATTCTTGTTCTGGGTGGCACATCTTGCAGCTATGGTGTGCCAAAATCTTTTAAAGTTGTTTTTCTGCAGGTTTTAATTTTTGGATCATATGAAAAATAAGTCGTTATACTGCTGAAATTTAGTTAGAAAACGAGAATTTTAATAAGTTCATAAAGGGGAAAAACAATGGTTAAGCTTGAAATTTCTCTAATTTTAAAGAGTGTCACCATAATTCTTGTCCCGTATGCACAGCCACCTTGGTCAGCTTCCTAGTCACTCTGTCTTAGCCTTATGCTTTTCTGCAAAACAAGGAGTTGTATTCTAATTACCCTAAAATGAAAAAACAATTAACACAATAGTCCCTCAGTCAAGTATATACGACCATTTAATCCTTCATTATTCATAAGATAATCATAAATATAGGCACAACCAATATAATACTGCAAAGCCATGTGTTCCCATAATTGCATTCAGAAACTAGAATCAAAACAACGAGGCGCAACATGATAAACGTAATCATATTGACATAATAGTATCTATCAGGTTTCTGTCCTAAAAAAATATATCATAGATATAGTCATGTTTTAGGGTTCACAATTAAGTTCATCACACTCATACCTGAATCAAACACAATAGACAGCCGGTCATAGTGCTCGCGAGTTGCAATAGACGGCCGGTCATATTGCTTGCGAGTTCTCACAGCTTCAGTTTTGGGAATGCTCAAATGAGGGTGCTCAGCAGTACTTATAATCTTGTAGAATACATTATTCAAATCACCCAGCTTTGCGCAGATAGGTATAGGAGCTTCTACTCCCAGATATTGACTAACCTAAAAACACAAAATCTAGATTGAAATATCACTAGATTTCAGGCAAGAAAAAAGAACAAAAAAATTAAGAAATCCAATATAAAAGATACAGATTACAAGACCATCGAAACCAATCTCTCTCTAGTACTATAAAATCCAGAAAACTTGTGCTCAAAACAGTATATACCCTTGTAGAATGATGTTGTATGGCCAATCCAAATGAAACCGAATCATATTTTGCTGCAACAATGAGGAAAGGCACCTTAAATCCAGTATCCTCACCATGACTAGAAACTTCAACCAACAACTTAGTCGCCCTCTTCCATGATGATTCATCAGAACTAGGAAAGAAAAGAGGGAAAAAAATCTTATATATTCATAAAAGTAATTAAAATTGTAGAATATTAGCACTAATAGTACAGAAACAAGAAAGCATAATTATACATGCCAACATATGCTCTTTACAAGCCTAAGCTCATTAAAGACAGCACATCCACCCAAAACTTTAACATTACTGAGATATATGCTCGCACCAATGCACGAATAAGATGCAAGTTATAATGTTGTACACGACTGTAGTTCGTCTTGAACAAGAAACTTCTGAAACACCGTTGAGAAGGTAATAATCTTGTATTTTTAAAGTCTATTTTTATCATAAGCTTAAAAGATGAGCTAGTCTAAAGACCTAAATTAATAGGACAATAATTAAAGAAAGAAAGAAAAAATAAAAGACCTAGATCTCCTGTCATCTAAAAAGATTCAGTCATGAAAACAGAAAAGGTCATAAAATAAAGTAAGAACACAGACAAGCAATAAGTTCTAGGATTAACTAGATTATTATTAAATTTGCAACTACTTAGGGCTTCTTACTTACCTGTCATGAACAAACACTGCTACGTCGCAAGCAGCCAACGATTCCTTGTCTAAAAGGAATTTTTTAACTCCGTCTTCAGGAATTTCTTTTAACACAATGGTTTTTTTTGTTCCTTGCAAACAAATTAACATGGATACAATTTTAGACCAAATAACTGACGCTTTAAAATCCTAATTGAACTTTCCAATTCAAGCAATACTCAAGGCCGTACAGAACTAAAGAGAGACTTGGAAATCCCAACAAAGAATTGGGCAATACTCAATAAGGTTCTTAGATACATTAGTCAAGCACGTCTAGTAACAACCAAGGGTACAGAACACCAGAAAGAACTCATACTATACAACTAAAAAGATGTTCAGACATAAGCTGGTTAATCTAATAGCTCGTACCCAAAATTGGTCAACAACGTTCACTGCATAACGCACTTCAGTGGTTGGATTGTAAGTATTAGAGAAAGGCCTGATATTACACAAGGAAAAAAAATAATAAAAAAAGAACAACACTTATTAGTTGCATCACAAAGTTGTATTAATTAGCTGGAAATCACAATCAAAATCATAACGACGACCTTCCAAGAAAAGAGTCGAGCAATGCAGACTTTCCAGCCTTTTTAGGGCCAAAAACAAAGCATTGGTAAACATTTCTTTTTGATTCTTGCTTCTTTCGGTCTAAACACCTCTTCCTAGTCACGCGGATAGCAGATGAAATATCACCAGAATAACCGATGTATATTAGATTCTTCATGCTAAAAGCTGGATCTAGGAGTGTCATGAGAGCCCACTGAGAAAAAAAGAAATTGAAGACACTAGTTAACACTTAACAGTGAAAGATGTCAAATATGATTTTTAAATGTATGCTAAATGACTTATGTTCTGCCAATTTCATGCATAGTCAAAAGTCTTTCAACAGTAATAAATGTGAAAATACAAAAATATATGCAAACTTCATCACCCCTCAAGGGGTTATAAAAAAAAAAAAAATAATAATCTTTGCAATCAGTATAGATGACAGAAAGGGAAAAAAAAGGGTAAGACCTGTGATAAGAATCCATCAAGTGAGAGCCCTCCAATTGCATTTTGCTCTACCACATCCTTATAAGGAGCTTTCGAAAAGGGACTGTCATTTAAAAGAGAAAATTTTAAAACTCCCAAAGACGGTAAAATTTGAATAGAAACCTGAAGTCGAGACAAACCAAGTAAAAGATTCCAAGAATACTTGAAATTAACTCTGGTAATTTCAATTTTTTGACAACCTTTCCGGAGCAGTAGAAAATAGCTCTTCTAGTTCATAAGGACGGAGTGCTTCATCCTGGTGGAAAGTAGAATACAGTCATGATTGAAAGAGTTAATCGCACTACTAAGATTAAAAGAAACGGTAGGACTGAATAGCTCATAGACCTTGTTTTACCCTATCTTTGTCAAAAATGTCAAACATTCTTTTGAGGAAATCAATGGCTTCATTTGTCAACTCCACACACTGCACATATAATCGTTTATTGTAAGTAGTTTCAAGAAATTCTATATGCTTTAGAAATCCACAAAAAAACAATAAATAAATAATACCAGAAAAATAAAAAAATGAAGAAAGTCCAAATAGGTCTGAATCATTTTAGGTCTTGTTTGGTTCAACAACACAAATTGTTGATTTGGTTTGAGTTGTGGTGTTTTTAATTATGATTTGAACCGGTATTTGAATATGCAAATAAATTATAATTTGAATTGGGGGTAAAATCAAAATTGTGTTTGGATAAAGTGTTAAAAACTGTCATTAGAATTTTGTAATAAATCTTATAAAATTTTATTGTAAATGATATTAAAAAATATGCAATGTGGGTGGGGAATTTGTTCCTCTCTTCATTATAAACATATTAAAAAAAATCGTATTAATCGAAATTAAAACAAATAAGTTATGACATTTTTAAGTTTGAAGTTGAAGAGAGAAAAAATAAAATCTGGAATTTTTAAACTATAGACAACAATTCGGATCGTTAGAATTTGGGGGTAGTAAATTCTAAAATCAGGGATATTATTCACTTCCATTTCAGTTCGACATGAAATTAGAATATCAACACACAACAGAAGCATATAAATAATCTGATCAGCCAGATTTGCTGAGGAAATGTAGTTTTCCTCAATGAGTTATTACCTGATTAGGAGTCCGTTTCAATGGAGATATTGGAAGAAGTTCATCTGCAAGTTCTAAAGCATTATTGTATCCGGCTTTTCTGAGGACAGTCCAAGTCGTGGGGAAACACTTCGAACTTATAATTATTGAATGAAGAGTGAGGAATCCTTCAAGATTAAGCCCTTGGTCATTGACTCCTTCGGGACAATATTTTTGCACAAGCCTCTTGGCCTCTACAATTTCAGAAGGCAGCAGATGGGTATTGGACCAATTGGCCTGTTTATAGAAAAGAATTAGATATTTTTCTCTCATCCCAAAGACAAACTATCATAAACTTGACCTAAAAAAAACGTTTTAAGACTTGTGACATTATTTTGAATAGCCACCGTAGAGACTACTATAATTGACATAAAAACGTAACCTGGTAATTGCTCAACTCTGTATCACTGAGAGTTCCATCTCGGTCACGGTCAAAGAGAGCAAATATTCGCGTCAAGGCTCGCTCAAATCGAGGCTTCATTACTTGTAATTGTTGATCAAGTATTGGATCCGTCGGATAGAGCATGCGTTTTCTTCCGGAGATAAAAACCTCACGAACCTGCAAAATGAAATGCAGCACATTGACAGTGTGAGAGTTCCAAATGTTGAAGCCATAGTAACAAGAAATTGCTCGAGATATTTGAGTAGCAAAATTATATGCAAGTTATAAAATAGTGAATCAGATACTGGTGTTGAAGTGTATGATGCTGAAATTTTAAAATCTAATCCAGAAACCCAATTGAACATGAACGAAGGAGTGAACCCAAAATTCCAAGTTAAAAACTTACTAGAATAAACAAGCATAAAATTGCAAATATGGCACATATAGATAGCATGAAAGAGATTAGTGTGCTTAGACCCAAAAAAAAAAAAAGAAAAAAACAGAAAAAAGCTCGGGCACAGAAAGTATCCATACAAACCTGAAAATAGCTCAATGCCGAACACTCAATGTAAGTTTCAATCACCGGAAACTGTTGCTTTATTGGTGACATCACTTGCTCCAAATTAAACTGCTGGTTTTCATCTCTCAAATCATGTTTACAACCCACAACTATAACTGGGACCTTCACCTGCAAAATAAAGTTAACCATAACTCTTTATGAAAAATTTATGGCTCCATATAAGCTTATAAATATCAGATTCTTTTTTTTCTTTTTTCTCCGCTCTCTCTCGTTCCAGAAGAATTTCTGGAAGTTCTCCATCATGATAATCGTGCTGATCATGGAACAAAAAACGTATGTAAAACAGAAATTCGTATGTAAAACAAAGAAAGAAACCTCAAGTTGACGAATTTGAGGAAGCCAGAAAGAACTCAATCGATCAAGCGTCTGCGGTTGATCGCATGCATAAGTCAGAACCACTGTATCAGCCCGCTTCAATTCTTTAGCAACGTTACCAATATGCTGGGGACTGATTGACCAAAATTAGTAGAATGTACAAAGATTAAAAGAAGAATACAAAGAAGAGATTAGAAATGAAAGACTCACCTTTATACAGTTAACTTATATATATTTAGGATTGCATGGTTATTTCAATATTTATTTTATTATTTTAGGATTTAGGGATTGCATTAAATTTCTATATTTAATAAAAACTATTGAAGAAAACATAATCATTGAAAATTTATCTATGTATATATTTCTATACAAATATATATATAATCATGCAAACAACAAAGTATCTCTAACTTTGAAGAAAAAGAAAATTCATACAGAGAGGAAGTATCTATCATTGTAATTGGAACACGCCCGGGGTAGGAATCCTCCGGAACTACCGTCGGCGGCGATAAAGCCGGCACATTCACCGAGTATTTCTTGGCGGCGACGGTGTTGATTAGACTGGTTTTTCTGGTGCCGTGGTCTCCGGCCACGACAATTCTGACCCGACCGCTCCTGTTCAAGGATCCAATCGTCATTCTAGGCTTTGGTGAATGGAGGACGTGACGTGAGGTTTTTTTTTTTTTTTTTTTTTTTTTTTTTTTTTCCC